TTTTTTTTTAAATGGCAGTCCCAAAGTGATGGCAATAATCTAGTGATTAGCATCCAAGTTGTGATGCTGAGGAATAGGAGAGAGAAATCTCACCTCTCCATCAAAGCCAGCCACTTTCTGCGTGGCACACGTGGATCTTGGGCAGCATTGATGAAGCAAACCCGTTCTGGACCCAAAAGAGAAGCCTTCTGGCCAGGGGAGCTCACTAAGAAACATTTAGCCCGTGCTGGGGTGCTCCCATGGATGGTGCCGGGATCTTGAGGCACGATGCTTCACCAAACCCCAGGGGGGTCAGGCTTGGGTCTGTCCCCCAGAGACCGAGACCAAGAGGGTGCAGAGCCCTCCAGAGCAGGACCCCGAGGCACCCGGGTACTTTGAGAGCTCTGCAGATGTCATCTCACATCCTCACCCCGACAAATCACACCCTCACAAGGTGCTCATGCGTATGTGGGACAGTCGGGGACCAGAATAACTTGGCTGAGCAGCGTGTGAAGAAATCAGCCAAGCCAAAAATAACCTCTGGACCTTTTTCTGACTCCTTCCTGCAAAACAGTTGAGGGAGGTAGCCAGAAAGAGGTTGAGATGTGGTTCGTACAGCTGCCAGGCACTGGATTACAGGGAAGATTAACTGGATTTTGGGGGGCTGTAAAATTCGTATGAGCCCATCCTTCTCCTCACTGTCTGCAACCCCTGGCACCACGAGGTCTTGCATGGCGAATCGTAACAGCCACCACCGAGAAGCCTGTTAAGTTCATGATTAAAAGCTTCAGATCAGGTTTACGACACGCATGTTAACGGCTTGGCAAGGCTATAAACGCCCTGCCCGGTTCTGGCAGCCAAAGGGCCAGGCTTTGGCAGGCGAGGCTCCGTCCGAGGACGCACCGCACGCACAAGGCTCCTGGAGAGGCAAGTTCTGGGGGTGGCAGGCAGCCCCACATCCCCCTGCCCCACGCTGCGACCACCCAAGGCACAGCCCAGCTCCTACCTCTTGGCTACCGAACCCTCCGGGCACCGCAGCAGCGCATCTCGAACAACGGGGAGGCAAAAACCCATCTAATTACGGAGACGATTCATTTCTACCAAGAAAACCGTAGAAGATGGAGCTTTAAACCAGCAGATGAGCAGCCCTTTGGGTCCCTTCTCCCCCGAACTGCCCCATCCCATCCCGACCGTGGTCCCGCTGCTCTCTCCATGAGGCTGGGTGGGAAGAGCATCCCTCCCTGCCACCCGGCCCCGCGGCGCAGCGCTCGCTATTTAAAGAAACTGGCCACACGCTGCCAGCATCTCCCCTCCCTGCGGAGGAGCAGAGCCCATGCCCGGGGGTTCCTGACGTGCCACTGCCTCCACGACCCTCTGGCACACAGCACCGGGGGCTCAGCACCGCTGCCCGAGGCTGGGGAGGCTGCAGAGAAGGGAGGCATCGCTCGCAGCAGGCAGTAAAACGCCCCGGGAACTGCCCTCTCCTGGAAATCCGTCGCAACGGGCAGGAGGATGAGGGAAATGAGCTCTCATCTGTCACTTGTTTTCTGTTTCTTTTTGTGTGTGTGTGTGGTTTTGTTGTTTTTTTGTTGTTTTTTCTTTTTTGAGGCAATTAAAGGCAGCCACCCAGCCGGTACCTCCTTGCGCCTGCTAAGAGAAGCGTGGAAGAAATTGAAAAATGGGAGCGGAAAAAAAAATAATCTGCATTTCAGACAAATTCCGGCCTTGCCAGTTTCTGCAGGATCACAGCGCTGGAGACAGCAACCTGTGAGCTGATTTAAAACATCAGGAAGAAAATTCAGGAAAAGGAGAGGTGACTTTGAGCAGACAGGGTCAGGCCCTTCTGCCCCCGCTGACTTCTGGCCCTGTCTTTTGGAGAAGTTTTGGCACCCAGCTCCTGGCTCCCTCCACCTGTGGGAGGGAAACCACAGCGCCCTGGTGCTGCACAGGGCCCGGCGGGGCTGCTCCCAGCACAGCTTTGCCCAAAAACGACGGAGAGAGATGAGAACCCACTTCATTCCTTAGGGTGCCCTCACCATAAAACCTATTCCGATGGCTTTGCAACGTCCCCACAAGGATTCCAACCTGCTGGACCACAGCGCAAACAGAATTAACATCTGATTGTATCAGAACAACTTTTTATTTATTTTTTTTCTTCTCCCAAGCCATTTTTCACTGCTTCTGCTCCAGATGGGCCCTGGTGCAGACCTGTACCTCCTTCCCAAATGTGGGAGAGCGCCCACGCGCACGCCCGCCTCCGAGCCTTTTGGCATCGCTCACGGAGAGTCCCTGCAAGTGCTGGGAGCTCCCCCGGGAGCCCGGCTGGGACCCACCTGCAGAGTCCACACCCGAGCTGTCGCCCTCGGCCCCAGCTGACCGTCACCCCCCACGCCTGGCGCCCACGTTTCACACAAAGCATCTGTAAAGCGGGGGTGGCCGTGGCATTTAGCAGCGCGCTCGGAAGAAAAGATGGGCGAAGGATCCAAACCTCCTCCATTTAACAGCCTGGAGACCTCCCAGCTCACTTTTGGGAGCCATCTGGGAAACCTCAGACTCAGCAAAGCACGCTTGAGGAGAAAATTAATTGTAAAATACAGGCTTCAGGGTTTGCTAAAGAATCTGGTACCTCTCTGCATTGCTGGACAGCATTAAATGGCACCTCCCAGGCAGTGGACGCACTGACACCGAAGCTGCTCCACTTCCCTAGGAGTGGAGACCTTTGCAGTTATGGTCCCTGGTTGTCTTAAGCACCCTGCGAGGTTCCAGAGCTGTGTCCCCCAAGGTTTGGTGCCAGCTCCCACCTCCAACACGGTGCCAGGCTCTTCCCAGTGCCACCCAGCCCTGCCACCCACCCCTCATCCTTGCACCACCGTCCTCCTCTCCAACCCCGTCACCCAGAAAGGGCAAGGCTTGCACTACAGCCCCTCAAAACACACAGACGTGGACTTTTTCAGGGTGTTTTCTACTCCATGCACCTCCTGAGAAGACTGACAACAGGCAGGGACCCAAAGCTCCAGCAGGCTCAACCCCCAGCATCTGTGCTTCAGCTGCTGGCGAGCGCCGAGGCGCAGCCAGACCAAGCCCCAACACGGAGCGGGACCCGCCTGTGCTCACCACAAAGCCAAAAAGTCACATAGAGATGGACTGAGCTGCTTAATACCACATCTGCCAAGCTACAGCTGACCCAGCCACCCAGAAAGCCAGATCCAACCACCAGTCCCACCACCCGTGCCTTGGGAACTGGCCGGTTTGGGGGCTCCCTGCCATCCTCCAGCTGGTGGTTGGGGTCCTGGGCAAGCTCCGAGCCAGGCAGCTCCGTCTCATGGAGAGAGGCAGGAGAAAAAAAGCTGGAGAGTCACTCGTGTGTCTGAGCACCAGCCACCTCTGCTCATGGCTCCCTGACAAATCCCCATGGAAGCTCACGAACATCGGTCCCATTTCCCAGCCAGCACCCTCCTGCGATGCCCACGGGGACCAACATGTCATGGCATCCTCCAGCGAGACACCTGCATCTCCCAGAACATCAGAGCTACCAAGACACCGAATTTCCATCTCCTCGAAAGCCCGGGCAGTGGCGCAACCAAGCCCCCGAGGCACCCAGACCCATTCAGCCAGGTACCAACCTCCAGCTCACGATGCGGTGGCACCAAACCCAGCAGGAGATCCACCCCGATCCAGCGCACGAGCAGATGCTGCCAAATAAGCTTCAGCGAATATTTTGCCAGCACCGACTTGGCCAAAACAGGGGCACCCCTGTAAGCTTTTGCAGGGCTTTAACAAAACCCAGCTCCCTAAGCCAATTGCTGGGATAATGATGCAATTTGCGGGATAAACAAGCCCCCCGAAGGGCTGGTGTTGTTCAGGAGGAAATCACGGTGTCTGGAGGCAGCTCCCACGGCCGACAGGAGGATGGGAAGCAGAGCGAGCACAGCTGGAGGGGGCCAGGCTGGCTGCTGGCTGCTTGCTGGACCCATCCAGCCCCGGGGCTCAGTGATAACCCAGCCGGTGCTGAGCTCTGGGCAGCACCAGCCCCGCGAGCATCCTCCCTGCAAGCATCCCCATGCGCTCCCGGGGCTCGGTGCAAGGCAGATGCTCGCAGGGAGGGTGCTCGAGGGGCTCCAAGCTCGGCCCTGGGTGGATGCTCGCAGGCTGGAGACGGCGCTGAGGGAGGCAGGAGGCTGGGAAAGCGCAGGAGCAGAAGGCCACGGGTAAGGAGCGATCCCATCAGGATGCCACCCCATAAGGTGGGAGCGTGGAGGGGGTAAAAAGGGGCGGTTTGGGACCACACCAGGGAGCTGCTTGGGGCAGAGAGCGGCTGGCAAGCAGGGAACCCCCCTCCCTGTAACCACTCCTGGGCTACAGCAATCGCAGCCCCCCTCGCCCTGCAGCCGCAGGGGGAGATGCGGCCACCCTAAATCCCTCCTGTCCATGGGGAATGGGGCAGACCCCAGCCTGGGGTCCGTGATATGAGGGGGGCACAGCCACCAAACCCCTCGGCTCATGCTTTGGGGCAATAGCCCAGCCTGGGGAGGGGGGGGCAGAGATGCCAGCCCCCCACTCAGACCCTACCCAAGGGAAACAGTGGCTCATTCAGCACATCCCTGACTCAGGCTCCCCCCCGGGGAGCAAAAAGCACCCCCAGCTCGCAGCACCCCCTCCCCCGTTGCCATAAGGGGGGAGGGGGGGGGCAGCGCATCCCCGCATGGCACAGCATCCTCACCCCAACCCCACGGCGAAGCGGCAACGGGGAGCGACAGCCCCAAAAGAGGGGACAAGGGGGGGGCACGGAGCATCCTTTGGGGCTACCGAAACCCCCCCAAACCGCGAGGGGAGCGGCACGGGGAGGGGGGGGGGCGCAGCAGCATCCCCTGCCGAGTCCCTCCCAGGAGGGGCGACGGGGGCTGGGCATCCCCTGGCCGACCCGGGGAGGGTCTCAGCATCCCGGGAGGGGGCTCAGCATCCATGGGGGGGTCTCAGCATCCCTGGGGGGGGGCTCAGCATCCGGCCCCGCCCGCACTCACCGGCCGCCGAAGCCGCTGGAAGCCGCCGCCGCCGCCGCCGCCCGCCCCTGCGTCGCCCTCCCCGCCTGGCCACGCCCCCCCCGCCACGCCCCTGATTTGGCAACGCCCCCAATGGGTACCCGAGGGGGGGTGGGAAAAGATTTTGGGGAGGGGGGGTGCAAGGATTTGGGGTTGGGGACTCAGGGAGGGGTGAGATGGGGCGTGGGGTTAGGAGCCTGCTTGGGGCTGCAGGAGCCTTCCCAGGGGGTAAAATCCTTTCTGGGGGGGGTAAAATCCTTCCTGGGGGGTAAAACCCCCCCAAAAATGCCCTTGGGGGGCAGTTTTCCCCCTAAGGGAGCTTGAAGCCCTTTGAAGGCAGCAGCCCCAGGGTGGGAAGGGTCCCCCCATGTCCTCACCCGGGGCAGCAGCAGGGCTGTGGGGTGCCCCCCCCAGGAGGGCAGCTGAGCTCTGGGTGCCCCATAACCCCCCCAGGAGCAAATAGGGGTAATTAACGCAGTGCCATGCTTCATTAGCAGGTGAGCAATTAATTTGGGGCCTCTTAAAGCCCAGGTGGGTGCTCACCACCTTGTGGGGCCACCACACCTGGAGCACTTTAGGGTGCTCCACTCAGGACGTGGCAGTGGCGGTGCCTCCATCTCATGGACTCCCAGAGCCCATTTTTGGTGGTTTTACCAGCTAATTTTGGGGGAAGATCCCAGAAGATAAATGCCACCGGTGTCACCAGCCTGTGGGATCTGCGGCCAGACCTGGAAGCAGCCACCTTGGTGGGTGAAACCTCCTTCGTTTTCCAGGAGGGCTTAAGAGGGCTTTTTAAGGGTTTTAACCAGGAGGGTTTTAAGAGGGCTGCTTCTTAAAAATGCCGCTTTAATGCAGTTCCCACATAACGATGACGAATCGCGTAGCCCAAAGAAAAACATTTTTCGAGTGTCCAAGCAACCAAGGAGGTAGGTAAAGCCATCAGCCTCGGGATCTGGTTGTATCAGCTGCTCCAAAAATAGAGGAATGCGATTAGGGATCGTGTTTTTTTTTTTGTTTGTTTTTGTTTTTTTTGTCAAGGAATGACCTTTTCTGTCAGGGAAAATCAAAACTCGATTGTCAGATCCGCTCTCTGCTGATAAAATAGAGCGTTTTAGGGTAATAAGGTATTTGAGGAAACCCTGACAGAAACATGCTGGAGGCCATGCGGTGCCCGCCTGGGCAGCACCAAGGGCTTGAGCCCCATGCCAGAGCACGGCCCTGCCCCAACCACCCTAAATTTGGGGGGCAGAGCACAGGGACCCCCCCACACCCCGCTTAGTGGAATCCCAAACACCTTCGTGGGGTCCTTCCCCACCATGTGGCATCGCCAAGCGCCGAGGATTCAGCGCGGCCCTAAAGAAATGGGGGCAGTGGTTTTGTGCCACATGGGGCCGATCCCCCCACCCCGAGGTGCTGGGGGACCCCTGGGGTTGGGGTCGCAATGGGATGGGGCCGGGGGAGGCCCTGGTTGTGGGGCACCCCACAGGGCTGGGGGGACAAGGGACTGGTTACTGGGGGTGGGTACCCCAGGGGTTCTCGTTATGGGGAGGACTGGGCAGGGCTGGAGCTGGGGTGGGGGCTCTCAGCACAGAGGCCATTTGTACTGGGAAGACCAGTTTGCCCAGAGATCCTTGATACTGGGAGGACTGGTGTGGGGGTTAGCACTCCAGAGGCCCTTGTTACTGGGAGGACTGGGGGGGGTGGTGTCACCTCAGAGGTCCCCGTACCTCATGACTGGAGGGCTGGGGGCAGCTCCCTTCTTACTGGGAGCACTGGGGTGGGGGCAGACATCCCAGAGACTCTTGTTACTGGGATGACTGGGGTGGCCGGTTACCTCAGGTCACTGTTAGTGGGAGTGCTTAGGGGGGCAGCCATCTTGGAGCCCCTTGTTACTGGGAGCACTGGGGTGGGGGCAGCCATCCCCGAGACTCTCATTACTGGGAGGATTGGGGAGGCCAGTTACCTCAGGGCACTGTTACTGGGAGTGCTTGGGGGGGGGGGGCAGTTACCCCAGACTCCCTCATTACTGGGAGCGCTGGGGAGACCAGTTGCCTCAAGCCCCTGTTACTGGGAGTGCTTGGGGGGGGGCAGCCATCCCAGAGCCCATTGTTACTGGGAACACTGGACAAGACTGGAACTGAGGCTGCTCATACTGGGAGCACTGGGGGGGGGCGGGGGGGCAATTACGTCATCAACGGGGACCACTGGTGAAGGAGGGGGGGGGGCAGGAGGAGCGATGTCACCCTGCGGTATGACGTCAGAGCGCCGCGCGGGCGGGTGACGTCACGCTCTCGCGAGGCGGGGGGGGGGCGGGGCAGAGGCGGGGGGAGGGAGGGAGGGGGGGGGGCGGCGCTGTCCCCGCGGCCCCGCGGCGGCCCCGCTCGGGACGGGCCGGGCCGGGCCGGGTCAGGACGGGCCGGGACATGGCCCCGCGAGGCCGCCCCGAAGCCGCCGCCATGCCCAAGAGGGGAGCCCGCAAACGCCTCAAGTTCCGGGCCGACGACGTCTGCTCCGAGCGCGGTGAGGGCCCAGATTTGGGAGGCCAGATTTGGGGCCTTATTTTGGGGCCTTAATTTGGGGGAAGCGGGGCTGGGCCCGGCCTCGCTGTGAGGGGGTTGGGGGGGAGCTGGGCCCTGCTGGGTGCAGGCCGGGGGTGCCCCCACACCCCCCCCAGGCACCTTGTGGTGCTGGGTGCCTCCTGCTCGGCTCGGTCGCAGCCCCCTGAGGAGGGATCGGGGCTGTCAGGGCCTCGTCTCCCCTCCCCGTGAGCCGTAACCCGCTGACTCCCCGTCTCCTTTCCCTTCCCGCAGTGACCGTGGCAGATTACTGCGAACTCAGACCCGGCCGTGGTGAAATCCGGACGGGTGAAGAAGGCCGTGGCCAACGCGGTGCAGCAGGAAGGTGAGAGCGGGCTGGGCGGTGCAGGGGGGAAGGCTGCACCCCGTCCTGCTGGGCTCCGTGTGCTGGGGGAGAGCCCCCCACACCCCCTGGGCCTGAGATCCGACAGCTCTAATTTGATGCCCGAAAATGAGTCTGCATTTCTCTCTCAGATGCTCAGGCTCCTAGACGGGTTGTTTTTGCAGAAAGCCAGCCTCAAACCCAGCAGAATTGCTGAGTCTTCGTTAGTGCCTGAAATGGAAGCTCTGCTTTTTTTTGTTTTTTTTTTTTTTGGACTTAATATTTGGAGTTATCCACAGCTTGAAACAATACCACAACAAACAAAAACAAAAAATCACGAGTATGACTTCATTACCTTACACAAAACTGTAGATAACAAAGTTATGAAATAAAAGTCTTTGAATTTGGAGTAAGGTTCTGGCAAATTGCGCTGTGGTTGCAGTGAGGTCTTCTGAGCGTGTTTTTGTTGTTGTTTTCTTGGAACTGTGTAAGCAAGCAGCTTCCTGAAAATGTATTGCAATATTTTGTTATCTACTTCCTCCTTGTTTTCTAGCTGCTGAGGGCAATAGGAATGTTCTGGACTAACACTCTGCTTGCTTTAGAGCAGTTGATGTTTAGGTTTTGACTCTTAAATGGAGCTGGTCTAAGGGGTAGAATGGGCTGGGGGTGGATGTTATTGTATCAGCAGTGACAGCTGAACTCTTTATATGGGAAAACTCTGTTTTGTGGTTGTAATCTTAAATGTTTAAGGAGAAGGTGCCCATTGTATGGGTGCCTGTTTTGGGGGAACAGTACAGGGTGGTGATGCTGGTGATTATCCTTTCTATTCACTACTTGTCAAGCTTTTTATATCAGGGCACCTCCCACTCTCTGCAGTAGGCTGGGGGCTTCCCTCTCCCTGTTCCATCTCCCATTCATCCTTACATTGGCTCTCCCTTTGAGGCAGCGTTGTTCAGCTTCATAGGCAGCGAACTGCATCACCTTTAACTTCTTTCCCCCTGCTCTGAGTCCTTGCACCACCTGCCCTGTGCGGCTTAATCCCTCTCCTAAACTCCTGCATCCTATTCCTGGTTTGCCTTCTCGCTGTCTGGATGACTCCAGGTCACAGCAGTCCCTGCCCACCCCTTTCTCAGGGCTTTGCAGAGTCATTGGGGCTTCCCCTTCCTGAGGAGCTGATCCTCGGGGATGTCCTGCAGCCTTATCTGCTGCGCACCATGCTGCAGTTTGTCCCCGCACAGGGACAGCAGGCAGCAGGGAGGAGATCCCCGGGAAACTTTGGCCTTTGGCCTCACTCACCTCTTTATTTTTTCTGGCTCCCAGCAAACATCGCCCTGCCTGTGGCTGCCAGGAGGCGAGCAGGGGAGCAAAGGCCAGGTGGAATTTTTCTGAGCTTTTTTTCCCTTCCCTTCCTAGCCCCCCGGGGGCGGGGTGGGATTAGTGCTGTGAGATGAGGCGAGGGTGCCTCTCTGGCAAGGTTGCGATGCAGCGTGACTCAGTGTGTGAACAGCCTCGTGTTGTCAGCCCAGGTATCGTGCCGAGCTTTCCTTCCTGGAGTGTGGCAGTGTCTCTTTCTGAACCCTTCCCTGACTCCTGATCTGCTGTCAGCCTCTCTTGCGTGGCTGTGTTTGATGGCACAACTTGCTGTCACTCGGCTTGCCATCTGTTTCTCTTTGGCTTTGCCTACAAAGGGTCACGTAGAGAGGGCAGTGCTGTTTGACAGCGTGAAGGATATCACTACTGCAAATGCATACAGTTTTATGAAATTTCCAAAAAAAAATGGGGGACAAAAAATGGTAGAATTGGCTTAGCAAAGCACTGCAGTCCTCTGCTGTGGCTGAAAGCCTAGGAATGCAGTCCCTTCTCCTAAACTGCTCAAGCTCTGTGTTAAGACTGGCTTTCCACCTGCTGTGTTGCCATTGCAGAGCCTTGCACTGTGGTTAGAAATTAGAACACTTCCAGCCTAGGTTGGTTTCTGGTCAGTTCCCTATCTTCATCCGGGCACATTAGGTAGAAAATCAGTGTTCTTGAGTGTGTGTGAGCCTGTACCGTGCAGACTGGCAGAGAGTTTATCGTTCTGGTCTCTCTGTGGCAGTGGCTGATGCAGCTGTAACGTAGGGCTGCACCTTTTGTTTTTCAAGACTGTAC